TGAATTACTCTAACACAGGGATGGGAAAAATTTTCAGTGCAAGGGACACATTAAAAAATTCACAATTTTATTGGGCCGCATAGTATATTAACCCAAAATAATTAATATTTAAAATAGACAAAAAAAGGCTTTTAAAGAAAAAATGCAATTAATTTTTATTCCGATTTGTCAAATTATCTCTACACATATATATGTGGGTGTGTATACAAACATACACACACGCACACATGCACAAATATAATAAATATATATACATGTGTGTGTATGTGTGTGTGTATGTATGTTTGTATTACGTATATGCTTGCAGCAAGTAAAAGGCGAAAGATTTATCCGCAAATTATTGACCGGAAGCAAGTTTTCATTGAAATTTTTGTCATTGAAATTTTTGTCATTGAATAATTTATACAGGTTTTTGAAAGTATCGAATTGAACTGTGGAAGATTCATATGAAACTCATTTATTTGTGAGACAAAGTAACTCAGTTTAAAGTACTTTAAAGAAAAAATATTACAGTGTAACCCGGATATAAGAGAGTTGTCGAGACCGGAGAAATAGTCTCTTATATCCGGGTTTCTCTTATATCCGGGTTTGGTCTATTTTGTTTAGGTAAGTATGGCTCTAATTTGGGACCAGAGAAAATCTCTCTTATAACCGGGTTCATCTTATATCCGGATATAAGATCCGGGTTACACTGTAATAAGTATTTTTAAGTTAAAGATTTACATGAAACACAATTGAAAGACAAATTAACCTTGTTTTAAGAAAAATTATTTTTATTTATATGATAAAATAGAAAACATTTATTTGAAAAACAAATTAATTCTGCGGAAATAAATAGACAATTCTTACTAATATTTTAAAGTATAAACTTTAAATAAAACACATCTAAAGTAACTAGATTTAAAGAAAAAAATGAATTTAGATTTTAAAATAGAAACTTCACATGAATCAGATTTGTTTGAAAACAAATTAATTCAGTTTAAAGAAAAAATATTGATATTTTGACGTAGTAACTTCACATGAAACAGAATTATTTGAAAAATAAACTTAGCAACAGAAGAATCTCAAGGACTCAATAAGAATAATGTATCTGATTGCAGTCATTTACTAGTTTGTTAAAGTTAGGCGTCAAATTGCTTGTAATAAACTTTTGGCGTTGCTTGGTAACTTTCTCTTTCAAATTTACTAACATTTGGCGGGCCGCATGGATTTTTTAAGCAGATCGCATGAGGCCCGAAGCCCGTAGCTTTTCCGCCCCTAACTTAACATGACCCCCGATATATATGCTTTTGCCTTCCGGGCGTAGGCGATCACGGATCTTCAGAACTCCTTTATTTTTTTGTATATCTCAGCAATGTTTTTTTTTTTCCTTTACTATAGCTTGCATACCTGTCATCCATCTTGTTAAACAGTTTTCACAATGTTTCTCTCGGCCCGTCTTATTTTCAGTGTGTGAGTGTAAAATTCTCCTAGTTTTCTTTCCTTATTGGCTAAAGAGGACGCGCAATAGATTAAATTACCCCTTGCGTCTTAGTGGCATTATTGCCTTGCTTGAAGTGAATTGATAAAAAAAATGTAATTTTGGTTTGCATTATACTTAAAATTTCCCAACGCTAACAAGCTCCGCTTATGTTATTCTCATCATGCTTCTGTAGAACTACATCTCTGTTGCCTCAAGCTTCCTCTTCATTTAGCTTATGGCCACATCACGATGAAACATCTTTCCGTACGATCACCGAAGTTAAGCAACGTCGAGTCTGGTCAGTACCTAGAAGGGTGACCGCTTGTGAATAACAAGTATTATAAGCTTGAATGTGCGGGTGGTGTAAATAGATAATGGCTCGGAATTGTTAGCCGGAGAGCCGAGTTCCAATTTCAGTTGGCTATCTTATATTTACTTACACCACAAATACCCGACGGAAACGTACGAATCCACTACTTCTTTCTCCATGGGTTATTCGTAAGACTATAAGTCTTACTAAAACAATCATTATCTCCAAAAATAAAATAAAATAAAATAAAATTGTGTTCAAAGTATTTAGATTTGGGTATTAAATAACCCATAGAGATGTTGATATGCCGCTAAACAAAATCAACCAAATAATCAATTTGAAAGAATAATATTTTATTTAAAAAAAAGACCAACAATATATTTTATATGTACGGATTTGAAGCCATAAAATTGTGTTCCAAATATTTAGATTTCAGCATTAAATAACCCATAGAGGTGTTGATATGCCGCTAAACAAAATCAACTAATCAATAATACATACTTAAATCAAAATAACCAACAATAATTTTTATCTGTAGCTGAAGTTATACAATTGTTTTCAAAATATATTTAGTTGAAGCCATAAGACTGTTCAAAATATTTAGATTTTGGCATTAAATAACCCATAGAGGTGTTGATATGCCTCTAAACCAAATCAACCAAACAACCAACATCTTTATCTGTGAGGAAATTGTCCAAAATTAATTGCCATATAAGAAGAGTGATATTACATAGCAGTTCTGGACACTTTTGCATCTTTCTAATGGAATTTTCCTGTTTCTTAATACTTTACTTAGCTTCTGAAACGCATTTTTGTTATACCAGTACTCCTCCGGCTTCAAATTTTCCCTATACATAATAGCTAACTGGCACATATGCGGGGAAAATTTGATAATAATATTAAGGTCAAGCCTCGAGGTGGGTGGCACTACCTCTCCTTCGGGGGGGGGGATGCTGGTTTCATTTCCCGGTGCTTGAGGGGTCCCTAAAAATGTATTGTATTGACGTTAAACCCTCTTAAAACTGACCTTGAGCCACATTCAGTAACGACGGTCGTACTGAAAATATACATATATATATATATATATATATATATATATATATATATATATATATATATATATATATACTAGCTAAAATACTGCATTCCACTGCCTCTATTACAAGACAATTCCGATGACTTATAAATGCGAATAATCAGTATTGTAATTAGGGGGGGGTAGGGAAACGACTAGTGGTTTGGAAATTAAAATTAAGGACCAGAATTCAAAATTCTAACCTCGCATTTTTATACTAATGTTCATTAAATTCAAGGCTGAAGAGTCACTCAATGTAGAGGCATTTTTCGATTTTCTTTTCCGCTTTCCCATACTTTTGATTTTTCATTTTTTATTTTTACTCTCTTTTCTTTTATAGTCTTGGGTTTCTTTTTTTCGAATTTTTTTCTTTATTTTTTTCGTACTTTCTTTCTTTTGCTTATTTAATATTATTTTTCCCGTCCTGGGTAAGACGATAAACTACGTCCAACAGCAAGGCCTCTGATCAGGAGGTTTTGAGGAGCGTGGAACCACCTCTTAATTGCAGGTGTTCCCAGGTCCACTCTGACCCGGGGTGGTAGCACCTGTTAGGGGTCCCAGCTATGGGCAAATAGTTAACCCCCAAACTGAGGTCAAAACACTATGAAAGTGTAAAAATAGGTTTTAATACTAGCAATACATTGTAAAAATTATTACCAGCAATAAATGTTTGAAGAAAAATTTTTACTAGCAATATATTTTAAAAAAAAACAAACATATTACCAGCAATAGATTTTTTGAAGAAAACTATTTCCAGAAATATATTTTTTGAAGGAAAAAGATATTACCAGCAATACATTTTCAAAAAAAAAAAAAAATACAAATATTATCAGCAATAAAAATTTTGTCAGCATTAAATAACCCATTGAGGTTGATATGCCGTAAAAAGAAAACAAAAAAACAAAAAAAGCAATCAAAACCTAAGTTTTCTATATTTCTGAGATGAGGTATTATGTACACTATTTACATTATTCGGACTATTGTCCTCATCTTTGTTGTCATATTTATCACCCTTCAGTATCTGTCTATATTTCTGAGATGAGGTATTATGTACACTATTTACATTATTCGGACTATTGTCCTCATCTTTGTTGTCATATTTATCACCCTTCAGTATCTGTCTATATTTCTGAGATGAGGTATTATGTACATTATTTACATTATTCGGACTATTGTCCTCATCTTTGTTGCCATATTTATTACTGCGTTTCGGCCGTTGTACGCTCAGGCCTTCTTCAGGTGGTTGGAATGTCGAACTGAACCCTTTATTTTCTCAAGGACACATGGCACAGTGGATAAAGGCGTTAGTTAGATTCAGTGACAGTGAGAATTCCCAGAGGGAAATTAACAGGAGATAACTGATAACTGACATCCATTAAACATGGCACGTGGAACTAGAACAGTCTACCCCAGTGAGCGAAATAAAGGGTTCAGTTAGACATTCCAATCACCTGAAGAAGGCTGGAGCGTACAATGGCCGAAACATTGTAATAAACATGTCGACAAAGATGAGGACAATAGTCCGAATAATGTAAATAGTGTACATAATACCTCATCTCAGAAATATAGACAGATACTGAAGGGTGATAAATATGGCAACAAAGATGAGGACAATAGTCCGAATAATGTAAATAGTGTACATAATACCTCACCTCAGAAATATAGACAGATACTAAAGGGTGATAAATATGGCAACAAAGATGAGGACAATAGTCCGAGTAATGTAAATAAAACCTAATTTCTTTTTCTTTCTTCTGTCTTTTTCTTTCTTTCTTCCTTCTTTCTTTATCTTTTTTTTAGAATTCATTCATCTTTCTTTCTTTCTTTCTTTCTTTTTGTTGATTATTTAATTTATTTTCCTTCTTTTTTCTTTTTTGTCTTTTTTCTTCCTTTCTTTTTTATATTCTTCCTTCTTTCTTTCTTTAGCTTTTTAGAATTCATTCATTTTTCTTTTCTTTCTTTCACATATTCCTTTGTTTTCCCTTTTTCTTTTCCGCTTCTCGATTCTTTTAGTTTTCTGTCTATATTTTTAAAAAAATCTTTCTTTCTTTTTTTCTTTCAATTCGTTTATTATCCTTTCCTTTCTTTCGCATATTTCTTAATTTTCTTCGTTCTTCTTTTTCTTTCTCTTCTCCTTCCCTATTTTCATTCAGGCTTTCTTTTTCCGCTTCTCGCAAACGTGATGAGCCGGCCGCCATTTTGACTCCCCAGCAAGACATATGTTATGTGAAAGGCGTAAAATTAAAGCCTTCAAACAAGGTGAATCTCACTAGAAAGATGTCGACAAACGCCATCACCAACCGAAAAAAAAAGGACAACAGAAAGGCTTATCAGAAGATGAAGGCTGGGGAGAAAGCAAGAAACGTGGGGACTGAGAAAATATTAATTCAGTCCGAGGATTCCCGGTGGGAACGCGTAAAGTGATGACAACTCGACGGTTTGGGCGGGAAACCGTTGTTGACATTGGATAAAGGCGGGATTCCCAACCTGCTCACCCCGAAGATACAAACACGAAATAAAACCCAAAACTTTAGATTAGATGCAGACAAGAAAAATCAGATTAAAGTGGATATTAAAGATTTTACAAATATAATATTCTTCTGTATGCCGCATCCCTTCAAAACATAGACGGTCATGGCTCTCCACAAAATCTCGTATGCTCTTATCAGTTTTTGACACTTTGTTAATTCTGCCATTCATTTAAAAAGGTCGTCAGTTAAGGAAGTCAGTGTGATTTATCACAATTTTGTCCTCTTCTGGGCCATCTCCAAACATTTCTATCTTCTTTCTCCCGAAATTACAGCAGGTTTTTTTAAACTTTTCAAAGTTTTTTTCGTGAAAAAAAGGAAAAACTATTGAGAGTCCCTTTTTTTTAATCATTTCACCCTAAACAAGGAAATAAAGCCACTAAGACGCAAGGGGTTACTGAATGTGAATGAATAAGAAAAAGACAAGAGTTATTAAGAAGAAAGGACAACCAGAGAAATTAAGAAAACAGAAGAGAGTTCTATCTATCTATCTATCTATCTATCTATCTATCTATCTATCTAATCTAATTCATATCTATCTATCTATCTATATCTATATATATATATATATATATATATATATATATATATATATATATATATATATATATATATCGCTCTGTTCTATTCATCTATCTACCTCGGTCTGTTCCTATCTATCTATGTATCTATCTATCTATTTCAGTCTATTGATATCTATCGATCTATATATCTATCTGTTTCAGTCTGTTCCTATTTATCTATCTGTTTCAGTCTGGTCATATCTATCTATCTCTCTATCTATCTATCTATCTATCTATCTATCTATCTATCTATCTAAATCTGTTCACATCTATCTATCTATCTATCTATCTACCTAGGTCTCTTCCTATCTATCTATCTGTATATATATATATATTACAGTCAGTTTATATCTATCTATCTATCTGTTTTAGTGTGTTCATCTCTCTCTCTCTCTCTCTCTCTCTCTCTATATATATATATATATATATATATATATATATATATATATATATAAGCGTGTTCATATCTATCTATGTATCTCAGTCTGTTACAATTATCAGTTTAAGTCTGCTTATATCTATCTATCTATCTATCTATCTATCTATCTATTTCAGTCTGTTCATCTCTTTCTCTCTCTCGGTATATATACACACGCACACACACACATATATATATATATATATATATATATATATATATATGTATATTTATGTATATCAGCCTATTCATGTCTATCTATATAGATGTCGCAATCTACTAATATCTCCTTCCAGTTAAGTAAGGCAATAAAGCCACTATGACTTAAGTGTGTTACTGAATGTGAAAGAAAAAGATTATTAAGGAGCGAGAACAATAAAAAAAATGAATCAAGAAGACAGTCAATAACGATTGACATTGGTTTTAACCTTTTGAATGTCAGAATTGGCTGGAACAGAAAAATACGGCAGAGAGTCCCTCGAGCGCGAAAAATAAAATTTTAGAACAAAAATTACCGTTAATATCTTCTACCTTAGCACCATTATTACATTACTTGGGGCGAAAAACTTAATAAAATCCTCTTGTAGAGGACAGGTCGTATTCGAAATAGACGCCGCATTTTTTTTATTAAACTATCAGCCTGCGCATGCGTGAAATCTTAATAAAGAGCATTTTTTAAATGTTTAGATCTATTAATAAATTATTCTCTCGCACTTCTTTCCTGTGGAAGTCTTCTGGCGAGAAATAATTGAACAGTGAGAATATAAGAAGTAGACGACAATGTCAGCGGAATGAGAACAATCCACCCCTGTTGATTAAATAAAGAATTCAGTTAGAAATTTCTCTGCTGCAAATTGAGCGGATGAGAAAGCAACTGATGAAGGGCTGGAAGCACAACGGCCGAAACGCTGTGATAGCAACAACAAAGAAAGGGAATAAAGCCCCTAAGATGCAAAAGGGTTTTCCGAGCGTCACAGAATAAGAAAAAAGAAAAACATTATTTATATTGAATTCATTGCCAGATCAGCTGCTAAGAACGTCGGTTCACTGTGTCGGGTAAGACAATTTTTCCCGCCAGAAACTATTTTACACATCTATAGATCTACCCCTTCATAATGCTTAGAATATTGCTGCCACATATGGTCCGGTGTCCCTACCTTGAGCTCCTTGATAAGATCCAAAGAAGTATCTGTAATGTTATTGATCCTGATCTGACAGCTCAGCTTCAATCACTTTCCAACTGATTGTGTCTTTATATGCCTTTTCTATAAATATTTTCATGGTATCTTCTAATGAGTTTTTCGCTATGCTATTCATATTGTAAATACTCATTGGGGCTTTTAAAATTGTTGTTTTGTTCCCCCTCCTCACACAGATAATGAATTGTACATATGAGGACTAGTTAGGATTTTCATAGAGACAATGTGGTATTACGTTGGGTGTAGTAAGAAAGGCAACTAAGAATGCGTTGTTTTGGTGTAAGGAATATTGTTTGTATGATTGGGTCAGTGTTTGTGTCTAGCTAAGACAGAAGAAGACAGTCCTTTCTCCATTCCCATGTTGGCCTTGTCCCACCTTTTCTGTACATAGCAGAAATAAATATCACTCTTCGCTATGGTACCTAGAGTGTTTGAATTTAAGCACAATACTTGACTGGCGTCGAGATCTCATCAATTTATAGTACGGCTATCTAGATGTAACTATAAATTCTATGGTAACAGTTTCTTTTCTCGCACTTCTCGCTTGTGGAACTCCCTCCCGGCTCCATGCTTTACAGCCAACTTACATCTGGTAAAATTTAAATGCAATGTCAATCTCTATTTATTGTCCTCCTGATTACTCTTTCCTCTTCCTGATCATTATTAATGTTTCTTTTCCTAATTCTTCCTCACCCTGTAACCCCCTTGTGTCTTAGTGGCTTTACTGCCTTACTTGTGGAACTCCCTTCCGACTCCATGCTTTCCAACCAACTTTAATATGTAAAATTTAAATGCAATGTCAATCGCTATCTATTGTCCTCCTGATTACTCTCTTCTCTTCCAGCTAATTAGTAATGTTTCTGTTCCTAATTCTTCCATGAATTTCTGGGTATTAGAAAACTAATGTCTTCAAACAATCATTTTTAACAAGTGCTCATATTGCAAGTTTTGCTGTTATTATTTTATCTTTTTACCATAGCTCATATTGCAATTTTTGTTGTTGTTATCGCTTTTCTCTGGCACTCCTTATTACTGGTTCCCATATTGTATTCATTTCTATGTTTTATCGGCTCAGTGAGCGAAATGAAGGGTTCAGACTTTCCAACCACCTGAAGAAGGCCGGAGTGTACAATGGCCGAAACGTTGTAATAAATATGGCGACGAAGATGAGGACAATAGTTCGAATAATGTAAATAGTTTACATAATACCTCATCTCAAAAATATAGACAGATACTGAAAGGCCTAAACATTGTGATAAATATGGCAACAAAGATGAGGAGAATAGTTCGAATAATGTAAATAGTGTACATAATACCTCATCTCAGAAATATCGACAGATACTGAAGGGCCGAAACATTGTAATAAATAGGGCGACAAAGATGAGGAGAATAGTCCGAATAATGTAAATAGTGTACATAATACCTAATCTCAGAAATATAGACAGATACTGAAGGGTGATAAATATGGCAGCAAAGATGAGGACAATAGTCCGAATAATGTAAATAGTGTACATAATACCTCATCTCAGAAATATAGACAGATACTGAAAGGTGATAAATATGGCAAAAAAGATGAGGAAAATAGTCCGAATAATGTAAATAGTGTACATAATACCTCATGTCATCAATATAGACAGATCCTGAAGGGTTATAAATATGGCAACAAAAATGAGGATAATAGTCCGAATAATGTAAATAGTGTACATAATACCTCATCTCAGAAATATAGACAGATACTAAAAAAAAAAATCATATTTTACATAGATAAAGCCCTTCATAACGTGTGGGCTGTATTCCTGAGAACAATTTTTTGTATTTCTTTTAGGAAATTAAATTAATTTTCTTTAAGTCAGTTATTATTACATAGTTAAAGCTCTTTATAATATATGATCTTTACTTATGGGTACAATTTTCTTATATTTCTTTAACACAGAGACCACCAGGAATTCCTTCAATGAGTCTATCGAAATCTTTTCCAATGAATTCGAAAGTTCCAAACACAACTGTAACCAGATCTGGTTAGTATTCATTTCTTGCCGTTTCCTCCCTGCAAAAGTCATGTCGAGTTTTATATTCAGTAGAGGCTATTACCGTGAAACCTAACAAAGGATGATCAATTATTTTGAGGAGATTTATCACAGAATCTGCATTTGGGGTTGACACAATTTTTCAATTTTATTTCAATATAGTTTACATATTACATCATCTCCTTCAAATTATTATTATTATTATTATTATTTCCTTTGATTTCTGGTGTGTACTCATTTCTTGCCGGGTCCCGCCAAGAGACCTAAGGTTAGAAATGGCATCATGACATTTTCCACTGACAAGAAAGGAAAAAAAATACATAGATAAAGCCCTTCTTAAGATGTGGGCTGTACACGTGAGAAAAATATTTGTATTTATTTAAGTCAAGGACTTCCTGGGACCCCTTCAATTAGTCTACTGGAATCTTTTCCAACCAATCCGAGGGCTCCAACTACAACAAGATTGTTGATGTTCCCATGTGTAATATTTTTGAGATTTCTATTTCAAGGTCCTTGTATTCTGACAGCTTTTTGAAGATCTTCAAAGATACATTGCAGTCTGAAGGGACAGCCATATCAATAAGGAGGCACTTTTTTTTCTTTTTTTTTTTCTTTTTTTTTGCTTGCGGTCTCTAATAACAATGTCTGGGCGGTTAGCTTTCATTGGTTTTTATTATTATTATTATTATTATTATTATTAAACAAAATGACTGATGTAACTCTTCCCATATTTTCAACGTTTAGAAAATAGAAGAAAAAAGATCAAGAAGAGTGGCCATTCAAGACAACTATCATTTCGCAATTTGATAAGAAAAACAGAATCAGTTGAAAAATTCGTCCATAACCTTTCAACTTGTGAAGATACCAGTATGCCAAAGCCTGTCAAAATAAGTAATCTATTAATACTTTAATGGTAATTGTTCTGATGAACTTTCCGCTAATGTTCCTAGATTTTTATGGATTGAAGCGCAGTACTAGATTGGCGGTGAGGTCTCATCATGTTACTAGATGGATAGATGAAACCGTAAGTTCTATACTAACAGTTTCTTCTCTCGCACTTCTCATTTATGGAATTCTCTTCTGGCTGCCCGGTCAACTTCTGCAATGAAGGCAGTTTGCAAAGCCTAATGATATGTTATGACGAAAGTGCAAATAATTTTTTACCCACCTTTGTAAAATGCTTTTTTAATGCACCTGATTGTTTACTTTATATGTTACAAGCTTAAAGACACTACAACCTTTTTTTTTCTGAATATGCCTTACGTCTAATATGCCCGTGTGTCTTTTCAGTCGTCAAATAGGGATACTCAGGGATGAATATTAACACAATATATCAAATGGTTAACATGAAACATTTCAAGTCAAATTCAGCTTATAAGTAATTGTTAGGACATCTACTGCTTTGTCATTTGCACAGTTCCCAATAAATCTCTGTTCCCACCCAATCATGTCTACATTTATTATTTTCTTAGGAAGTAAACGGCATGTATTTTTTTTTCTATTCGGCTGTTGTACTTATTGGGTCTTCATTCGAATAGATTCTGTTGTTCCTTACCGGAAATCAGCATGCAGTATGGCGCTTCATTATACCAGCACCCTCCGCGGTATCAATTATAATTGCTATTATTATTTGAATTAGGTGGAACCCAGAAAATTCAACGTGTTTACTTTTGTATTTATATTTCTGTAATTCATAATGAATAGCATCAGTTCAAAATTGCTAAAATAATTAACTGAATAATTTGGAGGAATATGTATGTCTTCTTCAATGACTATATTAGAAGGAAGGAAGGAAGGGAAAAAAGAAAGAAAGGAAAAAAGAAAGAAAATGAAAAAGAAAGAAAAAGAAAGGAAAAAAGGAAGGAAGAAAGAAAGAGAGGAAGGAAAGAAAGACGGAAGGAAAAATGAAGGAAGGAAGGAAGGAAGAAAGGAAGGCAAAATATTAAGAAATAAAACAAAATGTTAAAAATAAAGAAAAAAAGAACTGAAAGAAAGAAAGAAAAGAAAAGAAAAAAGAAAAGTAAAATATTAATAAAAAATAGAACGAAAATATTAAAAAGAAAGAAAAAAAGAAAAGAAAAGAAAGGAAGAAAGAAAGAAAAAGGAAGAAAAGAATGTAAAATATTAAATGAATACAACGAAAATATAAGAAAGAAAGAAAAGAAAGAAGAAAAGTAAAATATTAATAACAAAAATGGAACGAAAATATAAAAAAGAAAGAAAGAAAGAAAGAAAAAAGAAAGAAAAGAAGAGAAAGAAAGAAAGAAAGAAAGAAAGAAAGAAAGAAAGAAAAAGGAAGAAAAGAATGTAAAATATTAAATGAATGAAACAAAAATATAAGAAAGAAAGAAAAGAAAGAAGAAAAGAAAAATATTAATAACAAAAATAGAACGAAAATATTAAAAAGAAAGAAAGAAAAAAGAAAGAAAGAAGATAAGTAAAATATTAATAAAAAAGGACGAAAATATTAAAAAGAAAGAAAGAAAGAAAGAAAAGAAAGAAGAAAAGTAAAATATTAATAACAAAAATAGAACGAAAATATTAAAAAGAAAGAAAGAAAGAAAGAAAGAAAAAAGAAAGAAAGAAGATAAGTAAAATATTAATAAAAAAAGGACGAAAATATTAAAAGAAAGAAAAGAAAGAAAAGAAAGAAGAAAAGTAAAATATTAATAACAAAAATAGAACGAAAATATTAAAAAGAAAGAAAGAAAGAAAGAAAAAAGAAAGAAAGAAGATAAGTAAAATATTAATAAAAAAGGACGAAAATATTAAAAAGAAAGAAAGAAAGAAAGAAAAGAAAGAAGAAAAGTAAAATATTAATAACAAAAATAGAACGAAAATATTAAAAAGAAAGAACGAAAGAAAGAAAGAAAGAAAGAAAGAAAGAAAGAAAGAAATGGATAGATGTCATACTGATACACTCTGCGGTGTCGGTTAAGCAACGCTTATCAAGTCCGTTCCCGCCACTTTTTTTTCTTTTTTGCAATGTACAAACGTCGTATATACAAATAGAGAAGAACGGAAATGAATTTGCCAAGAGTTCAAAGATTTGCTTCTTTCTGGAGACAAAGTGAAAGCAAAGCCTTCCTTCGATTGCAACCTTCTTTGCAACATTCTGGCTTGTAATCCCGGAGTGTATCAGGTCTCCTTTTTTCTCCGGAAAGTATTTAATCGTTGGAACAAGGCCACATTATTATGAGCACTTAATACACCTTCATAACATTCATTTTGTGTTACTTTAGGCATACCAGACTCAACAAAGAATAATGGAGACAAAAGTCTTTTGAGTGTAATGAGGAGGTACGGCCTATCGAAGCGGATCACCAGGGATTTGATATCTTTTAATGATCCTAGACAAACAATGACCAATTCCGTAGATGTAATTTTTTTTTTAGAAATGATGTGGTCGAGTAATGTGTCTAAAATAAGAAAATTATACTAAAACTTTTAAAAATATGAAACTAATGCTAAGACTTTGAAAAAATATACAATGAGTTTTTGGGTTTTCTTGCAAATGATTGTGGATTAAAAAAAATGAAAATGAAAAGGAGGGTTATATTTAACACCAGGAAGAGACAGTTGATATTTATATAGCATATAATGAGGAAAGAGGGCTTGGAAAATTTGATACTCACAGTACAAATCGAAGGGAAGACAAAGGTAAACAAAGCATAAGTTACCTAAGGAGCTTTTGTAAATGGATGGCATAACAGGGTTTAAGCAAGATGACAAGACATTTACTAAGATCTACAAAAGATAGGAAATAGTGGAGAGTCATGATTGCCAACGTTCGACAGGAATACGACAAAAAGAAAAAAGAAGACGAAGAAGGAGGAGAAGAAGAAGAGGGAGGAGGATCAGCAGCAGCAGCTGAGGAAGAAGAAGATGATGATGATGATGATGATGTGAGGAGGGGAGGAGGAGGAGGAAGAGAAGAAGAAAAAGAAGAGGGAGGAGGAGAAAAAGAAGAAGACGGTGGAAAAGAAGATGGTAAAGAGGAGGGAAAAAGGAGGAGGAGGAGAAAAAGAAGAAAAAGGTGGAGGCGAAGAAGAAGAAGAAGAAGAAGAAAAGAGAAAAGAGAAGAAGAAGAAGAAGAAGAAGAAGAAGAAGATGGTGAGGAGGAGGAGGAGAAGAAGAAGATGATGGTGAGGAGGAGGAGGAGGAGGAAAAGAAAAAGAAGAGGGAGGAGGAGGAGAAAAAGAAGAAGGTGGAGAAGAAGATGTGAAGAGGAGGAGAGGAGCAGGAAGAGAATAAGAAGAGGGAGGAGGAGAAAAAGAAGAAGAAGGTGGAGAAGAAGACGGTGCGAAGGATGGAAGGAGGAGGAAGAAGAAGAAGAAGAAGGGGAGGAGGAGAAGAAGGAGGAGGAGGAGAAAAAGAAGAAATAGGTGGAGGCAAAGAAGAAGAAAAGAAGAAGAAGAAGAAGAAGATGTGAGGAGGATGAGGAGAAGAAGAAAAATAAGGAGGAGGAGAAAAAGAAGAAGGTGGAGAAGAAGATGGTGAGGAGGAGGGAAGGAAGAAGAGGAAGAAGAAGAGGGAGGAGAAGAAAAAGGAGGAGGAGGAGCAGGAGAAGAAGAGGTAGGAGAAGCAGCAGGAATGAGGAAGAGGGAGGAGGAGGAGAAGAAGAAGGAGGAGGAGAAAAAGAAGAAAAGGGTGGAAGAAAAAAGAAGAAGAAGATCATGATGATGATCAATGGTGTCGGTCACGGTAGAAGGTAAAAATAAAAAAAATGTCGGACAATTTCGGTTGTCAATCCAAACATTTTGTAAATGATATAACGAATTGCTGGATATGACAATTGAAGAGAATATAAATTGTTTATTATCAGTGAATGCAGACGACAATGTTCAAGGATTTTTAGACATGGCATCGTCATGCTTAATTGGAATTACGGTTTCTGTGATTAACCACGATATCGCCGTTTTTTTTATTTGTATCTAAGAAAACAAACCACATACGAATTACTCTTTCTTCATTGTTTATTTTTTTTATTTCTACCAGTGTTTTTTATTCCTTTATTTCTGCTTCTTTCATTGATACATTTGTATCAGGCAAAAAAAGAACAAAAAAAACAAAACAAAAGAACAGAAAAACATCCTGTTTTTTCTTTTAAATATTTTCGTATTTTTTATTCGTCCTCCATTTTGTATTTCTAAAAAAAATATTTATTCACACTTAATTTATTTTTCGTAAAATAAAAAAACGCTTTCCTATACATTAACTGTTTGATTCCAATAATCTTTATCCGTCTTTGTGTTTCAACTGATTTTACGAGCATTTATTTCCGTTCCTTCTGCAGAGTTCCGGAAACAATTGCGGACAACGATGGAGCATGAAGGACGATTGTGTTCTATTGTTCACCAATATCTCTTGGAGCAAATACATCTGGGCGACTTCAGTCGTCCAAAATATTGGCATAAAAAGTTGGAAGAAATAAAATAATATTGATTATATATTACAAACGGGACAGCGAAAAAAAAGAAGAAAATAATTATTCGTAGAAAAATATTATTCGGAAGGATGGTCTAATTATTTTCTGTGAATGAAAATAATATTGTTTAGAAAAAGGTTGAACAGAAAGAAAGAATTTCGAGGAACGTTGGAATATGTTATTGAGAGATTACGATTTTTTGGCATTTTTTCTTTAATATCTTTTTAGTTTTCCACATAAGTTTTTTTTTAAATTACCGTACACTTCTTCTTTTCTTTTTTCTTTCCTCATTTATTTCTTTTATTCATTCTTCCTTCTTGTCTCGTCAGTCTGTCTTTCTTTCTTTTTTTCTTTCTGTCTTTCTTTCCTTCTTTTAACCTTCTTCTTGTCCAGTTCGTCTTTCTTTGCTTTTATTGTTCTTGTTTTCTCCATCTTTCTTTCTTTGTTTTCTTCTTCCTCCTTTTCTTCTTCCTCATTCTTTCTTTCTTTCTTTCTTTCTTTCTTTCTTTCTTTTACTCTTCTTTCTTATCCTATTCGTCTTTCTTTTCTCTTATTCTTCTTGTTTTCTCTGTCTTTCTTTCTTTGTTTTATTCTCCTGCCTTTTCTTCTCCCTCATTCTTCGTTTCTTTCTTTCTTTCTACTTTTCTTCTCCGTCTTTCCGTCTGTCTTTCTTTCTTTTCTTCTTCCTTCATTTCTTCTCCGTCTTTCTTTTATTCTTCCTTCTTTTCTTTTTCTTCTTTCTTTCTTTCTTTATTTTATTTATCCTTCAAGATTTCTTAGTCTTTCTTTCTTCCCTCTTTTCTTCTCCGTCTTTCTTTCTTTTAATCTCTCCCTTTCCTTCTCCGTCTTTCTTTCTTTGTTTTATTTTTGCTTCTTTTCTTCACTGTCTTTCTTCCTTCGTTTCTTTCATTCATTCATTCTTCACTTATTTATTATTCTCCTCTCTACCATTTCTTTCTTTTATTTTTTCTTTCATTCAATCCATCTTGTTCTCTTTCTTTCATGATTTTCTCATTCCTTTCTATTTATTCTTCATTTTTTTCTTTTATTTACTTATTCATATTTTCTTTCCTTTTCCTTTTATTCAAAATAATCTTTGTTTTTTAATCTTGGTAATCTTTCTTTCAAAATTTCTTTTCTTTCCAAACTTTTTTAATCTTTCTTTAATCTTTCTTTCTTATGTTTTTTTTTCTTTTACACAATTTTCCCTTCTTTTCCAAATTTATAATTTTAGCTTTTTTTTCGTTTTTCTTCACTTTCTCTTTCTTATTCGTTCCTTCTTTATTTCTTTTTTCTGTATTTATTTCCTTTTAAAAATGTTTTCTTTCGTTCGTTTTCCTTTATTTTTTCCTTTCTACTCTTTCTTTCTTACTTTCTTTATTTTTTCTCTTTCTTTCTGTCTTTCTTTCCTTTTCTTTCTTCTTTCTTTCATTTATCGCTTTGCTTTTTCAAAATATATATATTCTTATCTTTCGTGTTTTTTTTTTCTGAATTTGTATATTCCACATTGATTTTTTTCTCTTTCACATTTTTCCGCCAGGCTTTCTTTCTTCTTACTCTTTCTTTCTTCTTTCGTTTTTTTTTTAAATATATATATATTATTATTCTCTTTATTTGTTTAATTTTTCAAAATTTATGTATTCCGCTTTTTCATTTTCTTTCTAACTTCCTCCATTCCCTTCGTTCTTTCTTTCATCTTCCTTCCTTTCTTTCTTTCTTTCTTTCTTTCTTTCTTTCTACCTTTCTCTCTTTTTTCTCCCTTTCTTTCGTTCTTTTTTGTTTATCCATTTTACATTCTTTCCTTCTATATGTCCTTCCTTCTTTTTATCTTTCTATCGTTCCTATCTTTCTTAATTCTTTTCTTCTGCTACCTTTTCTTTCTATCTTCTTTCCTTTCGCTCTTTCTTTCTTTCTTTCTTTTTTCTTTCTTTCTTTCTTTCTTACATTCTTTCCTAGTTCTATTTTTCAAAATTTATTTATTCTGCTTTACTTTTTGTTTTTTTTCTCTTATATTTTACGCACTGTTCTTTCCTTCCTATTTTCTTTCGTTCTTTCTTTCTTTGCTTTCTTTACTTCTATACTTCCTTACCTTCTTTTTTTATTTATATATTTATTTTTTAATTCATTTCTTTCTTTCTTCCATCCTTTCTTCTTTTTTGTTCCATCCTTTCTTTCTTTGTATATTTCTTCCTTTCTCCCTTTATTTTCTTTCTGTCTTTCTTTCTTTTTCCTTTCTTTCCTTTTTCAAAATTTATATATTTCGGTTTTCAATTTTTTTATGTTCTGTCCTGTGTTTCCTTTTCTGCATTGCCCTTCCTTTCTTTCATTTTCTTTTTTTTCTTTCTTTCTTTTTTCTTTCTTTCTTTCTTTCTTTCCTTCATTTCATTTCCTTTCTTTCTTTCTTTCTTTCTTTCCTTCATTTCATTTTCTTTCTTTCTTTCTTTCCTTCATTTCATTTTGTTTCTTTCTTTCTTTCTTTCTTTCTTTCTTTCTTTACTTCCTTTCATTTTTTACTTTTTTCTTTCTTTCCTTCATTTCATTTTCTTTCTTTCCTTCCTTTCTTTCCTTCCTTTCATTTTCTTTCTTTCTTTCTTTCTTTCCTTCATTTTCTTTCTTTTTTCTTTCTTTCTTTCTTTCTTTCCTTCCATTTACTTTCTTTCTTTTTTCCTTCATTTCATTTTCTTTCTTTCTTTCCTTCATTTCATTTTTTCTTTCTTTCTTTCTTTCTTTCTTTCTTTTTTCTTTCTTTCTTTCTTTCTTTCTTTCTTTCCTGCCTTCTTTTCTTTCCTTCCTTTCATTTTCTTTCTTTCTTTCCTTCCTTTCATTTTCTTTCTTTCTTTCTTTTCTTTCTTTGTTTTTTCTCTCTTTCTTTCGGTAAATTTCTTCCTTTCATTTTCTTTCTTTCTTTCTTTCTTTCTTTCCTTCATTTCTTTTTCTTTCTTTCTTTCTTTCTTTCTTTCTTTCTTTCTTTCTTTCCTTCATTTCTTTTTCTTTCTTTCTTTCTTTTAATTCGTTTTCTTTCGTCCTTTCTTTCTTTCCTTGCTTTCATTTTCTTTCTTTCTTTCATTTCATTCATAATTTCATTCAAATTTTAATTTAATTTAATTTCAATTTCACACAAATCAAAATGATGCTCCTTCCTTGTGTTGTAGCAAGAAAATGCCGAATGGTGTACATCGACGAAACATCCAGTAATCTCAAAAAGTACTATATGAGCATCACAGAGATATGTCGTATGAAAACACTTTAAATGCAACCCTAGGTCACCCGAATACATCAGGTCAGGATTCAGTCTTAATACGTCCCAGCATGAACAGGAGGATAAAGGATTCACTAAGAATATCTATTAAGAGTGTTCTAATCTTAAAATTAACGACAATTAATTAAAGACCAGGACTTTACATAGTATCATCAACAATCGCATATACAACAGTAGCTCAATGCGGTATACGAGCTAATAGAAAAAAAATTTCTTTTAAAATCTGACATCTAGGGTTCAGTTAATTTCTCACTAAAATAACGTATCTTCCCTCTGCCTTTTCTATAAATAATTCGTGGATTTTACGGATACATGGCACAGTGGATAAAGGCGTTGGTTAGATTCAGTGACAGGACCCAAAAGGTTGTGAGTTCAATACCTGTCTAAAGCAGTGGAGAACTCGGAGAGATGTATTAACAAGAGATAACTGATATCCATTAGACATGGCACGTGGAACTAGAACAGTCTACCCCAGCGAGCGAAATAAAGAGTCCAGTTCAACATTCCAACCACCTGAAGAAGGCAGGAGCATACAATGTCCGAAACGTAGTGATAAACATGGCAACAAAGATAAGGACAATAATCCGAATAATGTAAATAGTGTAGATTTTATGAATTTAAGCCATAATATAGCTTCACTTGGCCTTTTCTATAAATATTTTCATGGTAATTTTTCTTAAAAGCTTTCTTTTTTGGGACCTGGACTTTATGAATTTAAATGAGGCAACGAGTAGCTTGTTAGTTTTAACGCCTCAAAAACAAAACTGATCTTATTTAATCAACAGAGACCCCTTTTTACCTTAAGATTACATTATTTAAATTATTTGGACTGTTATCCTCATCTTCATTGCCATATTCACAAAGACACATGGCCCAGTAGATAAAGACGTTGGTTTGATCCAGTGACTAGCTTCTAGTGATATAATGGCTGTCTATATCTCTGAGATGAGGTATTATGATTACTTACATTATTTAAATTATTCGGACTGTTATCCTCATCTACATTGCTATATTCACAAGGACATATGGCCCATTGGATAAAGACGTTGGTTAGATCCAGTGACTAGCTTCTAGTGATATAATGGCTGTCTACATCTCTGAGATGGGGTATTATGATTACTTACATTATTTACATTATTCGGACTGTTATCCTCATCTTCATTGCCATATTCACACGGACACATCGCCCAGTGGATAAAGACGTTGGTTAGATCCAGTGACTAGCTTCTAGTGATATAATGGCTGTCTATATCTCTGAGATTGAGGTATTATGATTACTTACATTATTTACATTATTCGGACTATTATCCTCATCTTCATTGCCATATTCACAAGAACACATAGCCCAGTGGATAAAGACGTTGGTTAGATCCAGTGACTAGCTTCTAGTGATATAATGGCTGTCTATATCTCTGAGATGAGGTATTATGATTATTTACATTATTTACATTATTCGGACTGTTATCCTCATCTTCATTGCCATATTCACAAGGACACATGGCCCAGTGGATAAAGACATTGGTTAGCTTCAGTGACTAGCTTCTAGTGATATAATGGCTGTCTATATCTCTGAGATGAGGTATTATGATTATTTACATTATTTACATTATTCGGACTGTTATCCTCATCTTTATTGCCATATTCACAAGGACACATAGCCCAGTGGATAAAGACGTTGGTTAGATCCAGTGACTAGCTTCTAGTGATATAATGGCTGTCTATATCTCTGAGATGAGGTATTATGATTACTTACATTATTTACATTATTCGGACTATTATCCTCATCTTCATTGCCATATTCACAAGAACACATAGCCCAGTGGATAAAGACGTTGGTTAGATCCAGTGACTAGCTTCTAGTGATATAATGGCTGTCTATATCTCTGAGATGAGGTATTATGATTATTTACATTATTTACATTATTCGGACTGTTATCCTCATCTTCATTGCCATATTCACAAGGACACATGGCCCAGTGGATAAAGACATTGGTTAGCTTCAGTGACTAGCTTCTAGTGATATAATGGCTGTCTATATCTCTGAGATGAGGTATTATGATTATTTACATTATTTACATTATTCGGACTGTTATCCTCATCTTTATTGCCATATTCACAAGGACACATAGCCCAGTGGATAAAGACGTTGGTTAGATCCAGTGACTAGCTTCTAGTGATATAATGGCTGTCTATATCTCTGAGATGAGGTATTATGATTACTTACATTATTTACATTATTCCGACTGTTATCCTCATCTTCATTGCCATATTCACAAGGACACATCGCCCAGTAGATAAAGATGTTGGTTAGATCCAGTGACTAGCTTCTAGTGATATAATGGCTGTCTATATCTCTGAGATGAGGTATTATGATTACTTACATTATTTACATTATTCGGACTGTTATCCTCATCTTCATTGCCATATTGACAAGGACACATATCCCAGTGGATAAAGCGTTGGTTAGATCCAGTGACTAGCTTCTAGTGATATAATGGCTGTCTATATCTCTGAGATGAGGTATTATGATTACTTACATTATTTACATTATTCGGACTGTTATCCTCATCTTTATTGCCATATTCACAACGTCTCGGCCGTTGTACGCACCAGACTTCTTCAAGTGATTGAAGATTTCGGACCCAACCTTTTATTTTGTCCACCGGCTTAGATTGTTCTAGTTCCACATGCCATGCCTCTTCCGGATGTCTCAGTTATTCACCTTTAACTCAACTCTCCAAGTTTTGGTTGACTGCTGCTGTGGCCTGGTATTGAACTCACAACTCTTTAGGTCAAGTCACTGGATCTAACCAACGTCTTTATCCACTGGGCTATGTGGGGAACTAGAACAATATAGTTTGGTGGGCGAAATAAAGGGTTCGATTCGAAATTCCAGTCACTTGAAGAAGGCCGGAACGTACAACAACCGAAGAGTTGTGAATATAGCAATGAAGATGAGGATAACAGTCTGAATAATGTAAATAAGGCTCGTTGTAGTAGTAGTAGTAACACCGTTGAACAATACCGGTGTCAAACGCCTTCGAATGACGCTCAAACTAATAGTACTTGCTCGATAAAACTCGTTAGAAAAGTAACCACTGATTTGTAAACAGTGAAGTGATCAGTATAGAGAAATAGTATAGTGAATTGTATAGAGAACAGCGCTCCGTATAATAATAGAGGATAGAATAGAAATGTCGATCCGTATAGTATTAGAGGATAGACTCGGAAAGACTGAAAGGATACAAGCGATCACATAGGAGGAATGTGCACGCGTTATCAACAACTTTGCATTCAACTGTGCTTTCATCTGAACGGCAGACATCTG